TTAAAGCAATATATTTAAACTAAAGCTATTAAGAAAAAAATTTTTAATTATAGATAATGCAATATATATAAAATTGTATATACAAAAATTAATTATAGTAAATATATATACCCAGGTATTTTACAAGTTTTAAAGTTTGAAATTTAAATACTCATAGCATTATGCCCAAATATTTTACAGAAATTTATAAGGAATACAATACATAGGATGTACTTTGGTAAACATAATATGGTAAATAGTTTTAACTTTGTAAGCTTCAAATATATATTTTTTATGTTTATTTTATCTATTAAAATCAGTGTATCATTTCAATAGCAGACTAATTTGGAGCTTCAAAAACAAGTGTTTAAGCCTAATCAAATAGATCAAGATTTCAACAAATTAAGAAATTTTGATCGAAATTGGATATACAACAGAGTATACAACTTGTATATAATTCATACATAATTTGTTTTATTTGTTTTTAAGGGTTTGATTCTACAGCAATTGTTATGGCTTGAGAAGCCAAAGTAAGCTCTTGTATACTATTTTTAGCACTCAATTTCTTACTTCACAAATATTATTCTTGTAAAAAATTGGTGATAATATGGTTAATTTGATAGAACAACCAAATGACAGTTGAAGATTATTAGCTCTAACATCTATAGAACTCTGTAATATAACTTCACCTCTGTTGCAAAAACAAGAAATAATAAAAGTACCATTATGTTTGAATACTCCAAAGTTACAAAAAAAAGTTAAAGAGATTTTACTTAGTATGTCTTTATGTTTTTCATGCTCTATAAAAATAATAAGTCTATATTTTTGTATTTTACATTGGATTTGCTTGGTCAACCACCAAAATTCAAATTGCTAGTAAGTGAAAAGAGTAATGATAATGATATTCAAGCAAAATGTCATGACAAAAATTTTTACATATTAATATAATGTAAACAATATTGGACAAATGAAAATAACAGAAAATTTTTTTATTAGAGTTAATATTACTTATGTGCTATAGCAAATAGGAGTGACATTAATTCTGATGAAAAAAAATTCTATTATTTTTTATTATAAACCCAATATCTTATAATTATTTTTTAGTCTATACATGTGTGCTATTAAAGGAAATAATTCTTCTACTAAAAAAACTGTTAGTTACAAGTGCTATTTCATTTGGAATAATGTTATTGTCATATAGCTAATATCAAATTTCTATTTATTGGTATAATTTTTTTTTTTTACAACTTGGAAAAGGAACTATATTTACAATGTTAAATTATAAAATTATATGTTTCTAATTGTACTGTACCATTATTGGTATGATATTGAAAAAAACTAATATGTATTACTGTAATGACTAGATATAAGACCTGGGTCTGTTACATTTTACCAATTTTAAAATCTATAATTAGACCTGCAGGTCTCTTGTAATTGGAAGGTTTATTTTATTTTCATAGTATTTTCATAGTTCTTTCCTATTGTATACCCAGATTTTTTATATTTTACCAATACTTTATCCTATATTGTAGACTCAGGTATAATACATAGTGGGTCTGCTATCTAGAAGATCTTGTATCTGGCTAATTATAGTACTTTGTCTACAGAAAACAATTTTGAAAATGATATGAGTAGAAAGTTGAATTTCTGCAATATAGCATTATGAGTGTTAATAAATATTATAAGATGCCAAGATAATATTTATTAGTATAAATAATGTTTAAAAGTAAAATACCATTTTTGTACTCTTTAT